TGTCTCCCCCAACAGACACAACGCAGGTTGTTACTTGTCTTCAGTTTGCTGCTGCTGATGAATCTCTCTTAGCTCTGGGTTTCTCTTCCGGTACCCTGCAGCTGTGGCTGCTGCCAGCAGCAATGGGGGCCCCCCATCAGGGGGGCCCCCCTGATGCTGAGGGGGGGGGCCCCCATGCTGCTGCATATTGTGTTGCTGCTGCTGCTGCGCATACACCCGGGCTCTCTCCCTGCGGCACAGAGCAACGCAGCACGCTGCTGGAGGCCTTAGCTTCGCTGCACTCACAGCAGCAGCAGCAGCAGCAGCAGCAGCAGCAGGAGCAGCACTGTACCCACTGCTGCTGCTGGGAGGGCCTCAAGGGGGCCCCTGAAGTTTCTGCTGTTGCCTGGCACCCAAAGGAGCTGCTGCTTGCTGCAGCGCATGCAGACGGGAGAGTGGAGCTGTGGCAGGTGGAGATACACCCCGCTGCAGCAGCAGCAGCAGCAACAGCAGCAGCAGCAACAGCAGCAGCAGCAGCAGCAGCAGGTGGTGGTGTGACGATGCAGCACCTTCATTCTTTTCTCTTTTGCTGCCCCCTTTCCACCTCTTCTCCGTGCATGCATAGCCGCATGGATTTGCTGCTGTCTGTTTATAAAGGAGACAAACAAACTAAAACTCCTGCTGCTGCTGCTGCTGCTGCTGCTGCTGCTGCTGCTGTTTCTGTCTCCTTGCTGCATTCTCCTTCTTGTTTAGTTTGGGGCCCCGCGGGAGACAACCTTATCGTAGGCAGCAGAGAGGGGGCCCTCCTCGTCTGGTCTCTTGAGGCTCTCAGGCAGTATCGCCGTGCTGCTGCTGCTGCTGCTGCTGCTGCTGCTGCTGCTGCTGCTGCTGCAGCAGCACCAGCAGCAGCAGCAGCAGGAGGACAAGCCTCGTGTGAGGGCTTGACGGGGGCCTCCGAGAGGGGGGCCCCTCTGCATGCAGCTGTGCAGGGGCCCCCCTCTCACTGTCTCGACCTGGTTGGGCCCCCAGCAGACGGGCTGGGGGCCCCCGGGGGGCCCCCCAAGGAGACAGGGGGGCCCCCCACAGAGACAGGGGGGCCCCCGCTCCGAGTTGCTTCGTCTCTTAAGACAATCAGCGAGGCCTCCACGCAGCCCTCCAGTGCTTCTCCCCCTGACACCCCGCTAGGCAGAGACGCGGGGGGAGCAGCACAGCAGCAGCAGCAGCAGCAGCAGCAGCAGCAGCAACAGCCACAGCAGCAGCAGCAGCAGCAGCAGCAGCAGTCTGCTGCTTCAACGTGCACACTTGATAGCACAGCTGTTAGCAGCATCGATCCCGATCCCCTGGGATCGGGATCGATACCCAAGGGGGCCCCCATGGGCCCCCGTACCCGCAGCAGCAGGGGGGCCCCCCTGCGTCTGCTGCAGTCTTTCTTACCTCACTATGGGGGCCCGCAGATGCTTCTGTATCTACCGCAGGGAGCAGCAGGCAGCTTAGCTCAGCCTATAAACCCTACAGGGGCCCTGGGGGCCCCCCAGGGTATAGGGGCCCCCCGAGGCGTGGGGGCCCCCGGTGTGGGGGACCCCGCAGGGGGCCCGCAGGGGGGCCCCCTGGGGGGCCCCCAGGGGGGCCCCCATGTTGCTGTGTGTGGGTCCTGGCAGCTCGGCGTCTGCTCCGTCGTTGCGGGGGCCCATGGGGGGAGAGTGAGGTGTTTGTCTGTGTGCATGCATGACGAGAGGTTGCTGCTGTCTTCGGGAGACACAGCAGCACGTGCTGCAGCAGGTGCACCTGCTGCTGCTGCTGCTGCTGCTGCTGCTGCAGCAGCAGCAGCAGCAGGAGGGGGAGGAGGAGGCAGCAGGCTGAAAGCCTGGATAAGAGATGGGGATCGGCTGGGCCCCACACCTTTGCTCGATATTTATATGGACGGCCTCGTGAGTTGTCTCCTTTTTCTCTGTCTCCTTTTTTTTTTCTTTTTTATTTTTGTCTCCTTTTCTCTGTCTCCTTTTTCTCTGTCTCCTTTTCTCTATCTCCTTTTTCTTTTTTTTTTGTCTCCTTTTTCTCCGTCTCCTTTCTTTCTGTCTCCTTTTTTCTCTATCTCCTTTCTTTTCTGTCTCCTTTCTCTGTCTCCTTTTTTTCTGTCTCTTCTGCCCCTTTCTTGTGTCTCTTCTCTCTATTGTCTCTCTTCTGTCTCCTCTATATTCTGTCTCTCTTCTCTTTCTTTTGTCTCTTCTTTCTTACCTCTTTGGGGGCCCCTGAGCTGCTATCTTAAACCGTACTTGGGTGTGGGGCCCCTCGCTGGGGGCCCCCGTGGGGGCCCCCTTCCTTGGGGGCCCCTGCCTTGGGGGCCCCCCCGGGGGCCCCCGTGGGGGCCCCCAGGGGGGCCCCCCAGGGCAGCGACAGGGCTGTATGGGTTGAGAAGAGACAGCCAGCGAAGGGTAGAGGAGTAGGAGAGGGAGACAGAAGGAGACAGATGAGATGAAAAGGAGACAGTTTATCACATATATATATATATATATATATACATAAATATATTTATTTATTTATATTTATATATTTATATATTTCTATATTTATATATTTATATATTTGTATGCAGGTAACATCGATGCTATGGAGCCGCCTTAACGGAGACCTGCTGCTCTCCCATAGCTGGAGGAGGCCCTCGGGGGGGGGGCCCCACGGGGGGGCCCCCAACCGCAGCAGCTGGGGGGCCCCCAGCAGCAGCAGCTGGGGGGCCCCCCTGAAGGGTAGGGGCCTAGGGCACAAAGGCAGAGGGGGCGTGACGGTGTGGCGTTATGTTGCTGATAGGGGAAGCAGCAGCATGCAGGGTTTGCTGCAGCAGCAGCAGCAGCAGCAACAGCAGCAGCAGCAGCAGCAGCAGCAGCGGTATAACGAGTGGGACTGGGGGGATGGGTCTTGGGGGGCCCCCGGGGGCCCCCCTGACTGTTCATCTTTGCTGCAGCCGTTGCTGCTGAAGGTGGGGGGTTTTGGTGAGCGTCCTGTGCGTCGCGACAGCAGCAGCAGCAGCAGCAGCAGCAGCAGCAGCAGCAACAGCAGCAACGGCAGCAGCAGCAACAACACAAACAATAACAACAACCCCACCAGTCCAAGACAAGGAAACAGAGGAGACAGTTTAATTTCTTCTGTCTCTCTTCTGTCTCCTTCCTGGTACTCGCAGCGCTCTGCTTCTCCCCCCCGCAGCAGCAGCACGTGGGGGCCCCCCCCCCCCNGGGGGGCCCCCCCCCCCCCCCCTGGGGGCCCCCAGCTAGCTACAGAGGGGCCCCCTGATGCAGAGATAGAAGAAACAGAAATATATAACAACGCAGACAACGCCTCTTGCTTAATACAAAACAAAGAAGGCAACGTGCTGCTGTATTGGTCTCTACCTGCTGAGATCATCGCTGTCTGGGCCCTACACACATAAACACTTGCTGCTGCTGCTGCTGCTGCTCCTGCTGCTGCTGTTGCTGCTGCTGCTGCTGTTGCAGCATGCGGGCGACACACTGCAGCTGCAGCGAGAGAGCGAACGCATAGTGCAGCTGCAGCGGCAAAAGAGGGACTTCACACTGCAGCAGCAGCAGCAGTAGCTGCAGCAGCAGCTGCAGCAGCAGCAGCAGCAGCAGAGGGGCCCCACACATTGCATAGCTGCTGCAGCAGGGGGCCCCACACAGTGCAGCAGGGGGGCCCCCATACCTGAGGCTGTAGAACCCCCAACTGCAGCAGAGAGGTGGCTGCCCCTAGCTGCAGCAGGGGGGCCCCCCTTAAGACATTTGCTGCTGTTAGCTGCAGCAGGGGGGCCCCCATCGAGGCACTTGCTGCTGCTAGCTGCAGCAGGGGGGCCCCCCCAAGGCTGCTAGATGCAGCAGGGGGGCCCCCATAAAGATAAGATGTAGAGACTGGGGGGCAGGAGATGCTGCTTCGTGTTTCTTGTTTTTGTTTGTTTTTTAATTTATTTATTTCTTCTTTATAGTGCAGGAGATAACGCTGCTGCTGCTGCTGCTGCTGCTGTTGCCAGCTAGACAAATACAGCGAAAACACCTAGCTAGCTAGCTAGCTAGCTACATATATGCGTGGCTAGCTAGCTAGCTATATGCGTGGCTAGCTAGCTAGCGAGCGAGCGATGTTGCTAGATGGCTCCTCAGCTAACTGACTAGCTAGCTGGCTAGCTAGCTAGCTAGCTAGCCAGCTAGCTGGCCACCTAGCTCACCACCTACCTATCTAGCTACCTAGCTACCTACCTAGCTAGCCAGCTAGCTAGCTAGCTAGCTAGCTGCATGCCTTGGATACAGCTGAAGGAGTGGGGGGTGGGGGGCGAAAGGAGGACCACCGAGGCCCCCTGAGGCCCCCCTGGACGCAGAAGTGGAGGTGGCAGCTGCTGCAGCAGCCGTTGCACTAGCTGCTGCAGCAGGAGCTGTTGCGGCAGCTGCTGCTGCTGCAGCAGCTGTTGCAGCAGCAGCTGCAGCAGCAGCTCCTGCTGCAGCTGTTGCTTCCTTTTTAGAGGTAACAGCAAATGTAGCAGCCAGAAGACAACTGCTGCTGCGCTCTCTGCCTTCAGCAGGGCCCCAAGCAGCAGCAGCAGCAGCAGCAGCAGCAGCAGCAGAAGCAGCAGCAGCAGCAGCCTCTACACCTCTCCCGTGACGCTTGCTGCTGCAGCAGCGACGTCTGGTGTTGCAGTAACGATGTATGCTACTGCGGCGACGATACCTGCTGCTGCTGCTGCAGCGGTGTCTGCAGCAGCAGCAGCAGCAGCAGCAGCAGCAGCAGCTGAATACAGCTAATGCATGCAGCGCTGCAGCTGCGGTCCCCTTCAGAAGGGGAGGCCCCATGGAGGCCCTGTGAACTGCAGCAGCGGTGGAAGATCCTACAA